CATAAAAAGAAAGGATATAGAGCAAATATGAGAAATACTAAAGAGATTCATGATTCGACAGTCCACCCTGCACTTGTCCCATTATTCTCATGGGGTCGATCGAGCGTTACTTTGTCCTCAGGCATAGTATTTCTTCACCGAGTCAGAGTTGAATGGATATGGTAACTCATCCTCAGGCATAATATAAGCGCTTCTCTTGAGAAGGCCTTCTTTACCACATAGGGACCTTCATAGTTAAGGGCCCATTTCCCTCTTCGATCTCCTTATCGGAGCATAATTTTCTTTAAGACCAGTTGTCCTTAGCGAAATTGTCTTGGCTTCACCTTTTTTCTCAAATGCTATGATTAATCGTATTTGATAGAGATGACCATGATGGATGGCCTTTAGCTTTTGTTTCCTCCATCGGGTTTAACTGGTCATACCTGCTATTAACCTATTCGGCATCTTCGAGTTCTGCTTCTTTTAATACCCTCAAGGATGGTATCTCTACTTCAATTGGCAGCACTGCTTCCATCCCGTAAACTAGAGAAAAAGGTGTTGCACCCGTTTATGTTCTCAGTGTTGTTCTGTATCCATGTAGAGAAAATGGTAGCATTTCATGCCAATCCCTATATGTGATCAGCATCTTCTGGATGATTTTCTTAATGTTCTTGTTCGCGGCTTCAACATCACCATTCATCTAGGGCCGATATGGTACAGAGTTATGTTGTTTGATTTTGAATTGTTCGCAGAGTTCATCCATCATTTTGTTGTTCAGGTTTTTCGCATTGTCGGTGATCAGCCTTTCTGGCTATCCGTAACGACAGATGGTCTCCTTCTTGATAAAATTTACCACCACACTCCTGGTTATGTTCGCGTAGGAGGCCGTTTCTACCCTTTTGGTGAAGTAATCTATTGCTACTAAGATGAATCGATGACCATTTAATGCTTTGGGTTCAATTGATCCGATAAAATCTATTCCCCAGACGGCAAAAGGCCAAGGTGATGACATGATATGGAGGGGGACAGGGGGGATATGAATTTCATCAGCATACCCCATCCTCAATATTTTTCGAGCCATGACGTGACCACTTGCATGTGTACCGCCTATACCTTCATGTATTTGTTCAATTATTCTCGAGGCTTCCTTCGCATCTACACATCTCACCAATTTTGAGTCGTGGTTTCTTTTGTACAAGGTTGACCGCTCAAATAGAACCCATAGGCCAATTTGCGAATAGTCCTTTTGTCGTTTTCGGATGCCCCTGACGGATATTCTTTTTCTTTGATATAGGTTAGGATTTCATAATACCACGGATTGCCATCTAGTTCCCCTTGAATATTCATGAGGTATGCGGGAGCATCTCGTTTTTTGATCGTAATACATGGTGCTTCACCCATTTCTTCCATTTTGTACATCGATGCGAGGGTAGCCAACGCATCTACGACTTGGTTTTCCACTCGTGATACATGTTCAAACGTTACTTCTTCAAATTGCAATATCAATTCTTTGATGAGCTTATGATATGGGATGAGCTTTGAGTCTCGGATCTCCCATTCATCTCTTATTTGGGAGATTACTAGTGTAGAGTCTCCATACACCTTCAACCTTTTTATCCCCATTCCAAGGGTGGCTCGTATGCCGAATGCGCATGCTTCATATTCTGTCACATTGTTCGTACACGTGAAGCAGATTTTAGCTGTAATTGGTAGTATTTCACCTTCCGGGGACATAAAGACAACACCCACTCCTTGCCCTAAAGCATTAGACGTTTTGTCAAACTTCATGATCCAACTCCCATGTGGTAAGCTTTCTTTTTCTTCCTCTGTTGTCATTGTGTTCTCATTTGGGAAATCTATTATCATTGATTCAGGATTTGTAATAGCATGCTCTGCTAAATGGTCAACAACGACGCTCCCTTTAATTGCTTTTCTTGCTATGTAAACAATGTCATATTCTGCTAAGAGGACTTGCCATCTGGCGAGGCGCCCTGTCAATGAGGATTTTTCGAATATGTATTTGATGGGGTCCATTTGGGATGCCAGATGAGTTGTGTGATACAATATATATTGCCTTAACCTTTTTGCTGTCCAAGCTAGGGCACCACATGTTTTTTCTAAAGTCGTGTACTTACACTAATAGTCATGAACTTTTTGTTGATGTAGTAGATTGCATGTTCTTTCTTTCCTTGTGCTTCTTGTTGTGCCAATATTGCCCCCATAGAATTTTCAAATACCGATAAGTACAACATCAAGGATTTTTTGGCGTAGGAGGTCCTAGGACCTGTGGGTTTAGCAAGTATTATTTGAATTTGCAAAATGCATTTTGGCAAACTTCGTCCCATTCACATGGTTGGTTTTTCTTAAGTAGTTTGAAAAGGGGTTCACATGTGGAAGTCAATTGTGAAATAAATCTACTGATGTAGTTCAGGCGACAGGGAACCCTCTTACTTCTTTCTGGGTTTTGGGAGGCGACATTTCAACTATTTCCTTGACTTTGTCTGGATCGACATTTCAACCCTAGCAATTTTCCCGATGTGACCCCAAAAGTGCACTTTTTGGGGTTTAATCGTAATTGATACTTACGTAATCTCTTGAAAATCTTTCATAGTATTTCCACATGATCTTCTCTTGGTCGATATTTGGCTATCATGTCATCCACATAAACTTCTATTTCTTTATGCATCATGTCATGAAACAACATGACCTTTGCCCTTTGGTAAGTAGCCTCGTGTTTTTCAGCCCGAAAGGCATTACAATGTAACAAAATGTTCCCCCATAATGTGATGAAAGTCGTTTTTCCATGTCTTTTGGGAACATTTTGATTTGGTTATACCTAGAAAAACCATCCATAAAGGAGAATGTATGATGACCAGCGTATTGTCTATAAGAACATCGATATGAGGTAATGGGAAATCGTCTTTTGGGCTCGCACGATTTAGGTCCCTATAATCTACGCACACTCGGATATTTCCATTCTTTTTAGGGACTGGGACAATATTTGAGACCCATTCAGAATATTTGGCTACTCGTAAGAAGCCGACATTGTATTGTTTTTTAACTTCTTTCTTGACTTTTAACAACCATTCCGCTTACATTCTTCTTAATTTCTGCTTGATGGGTTTGCTACCTTGTTTCAAAGGTAAGTGATGCATCACTATTTTCTCATCTAAACCGGGCATGTCTTTGTAAGACCAAGCGGACACATCTTGATATTCCTTTAGCAGGTCTACAAGCCTTTCTTGCATGTCCTCACTCAAGCTTTCCCCAATTTTTACTTCCTTCTGATCTTCTTCTGTTCCTATGTTTACTACCCTGATTGCCTCACCATGTAGTTGTAGTGCTGACTCTTCTCGCTCAATCACCCAATCCCAGTCCGAAGATTCTTCCTCCTCCTCATCCGATTCCATTTGATTAACGGGTAAGTCAAAGTTGACTGTCAAATCATGAAGATCTCGAGTATCCTCCCATTGCTTACATACCTTGAAGAAAAAGATATAAAGGCAAAAGGAAAGGAAAATAACAAGGAATAAGGAAGGGATAGAAATCCATGTCACGAAAGGCTGGAATTCAAATGCATATGTTTTATTGAAATCGAGGAAAGGTGCTATAAGTGTGCTTTATTTTCCATTACAGTCTTAACAAAAGTTTAACTTGTCTTCTCGACTACATTTTATTCGTTATTCATTACTATCGATACTCTGGATTTTTTGTGCCCACGACATTGCGTTGCGTCTTGTGCAGGCATGTCTTCGAACTTCCAGTTTCACAACTCTTCACGTGAACACATCAGGCGAACAAACTTGAATGATTCGATGTCATTCCTTCCTGTCATGTTGATCGACATATCATTAAAAGTAGTTAACATCATATAGTCCTCTGGATATGAATTTTCCTTGACGACATCGACAGTTTTACTGTTGATGGTTCCTTCACTTATGAAGGTTTGACTTATGTGGGGTATCATGATCCTCCCGCATTCCAGGTCGTTCCCTTTTAAGCAAGCCAACCTCTTGTTTCGTTGCTCCTCTTTGATCATCTTCATATCATCTTTACTTGGCGAATTCCCAGACCGCAACGGTTTTTATTTTCCTTGATGTTTATTGGCAGTCTGATTAGAGTGTTCCACATTGACTTGTCAATTCCCTTGATCATTTGTTTAGCCGCCATGATGGAGGTTATGGCTGGCCTTGGATCTCGTGCCTTACTCTCTTTGTTGGCGTATGCGACGTCTTTAATTTCTAGCGATTGAAATGCACTCTCAAGAGCTTCCTCTGTAGCTTCGATATATGGTGCATCAAGTGCTTTCATTATTATTATATCTTCTTCCCCGTAGACTTCCACCAACTTCTTGTCAATGATGAATTTAAGTTTCTGGTGGAGTGACGATGCCACTGCTCCTACTGAGTGTAATATCGATCACCTGGAATGGGATGTTGAAAATGCTTGGTCCTATCTGGATTGGAAGCTCAATTTCACCGATCACCTTGCGTTTAGTACCATCAAATGCCCGAACCACTATAAAACTTGGTCTGATGTAAGATTCGTCCACCGGGAATTTATGGAGGGTTGACTTGGGTATTACATTTAGAGCTGACCTGTTATTGATAAGCGCACGAGCTATCATGTGGCCCTTGCATTTTAGAGAAATGTGCATAGCCTTGGTGTGACCTATCCCATCGGTGGGAATTTCATCTTCGTCAAACGAGATATTTCCACTAGTCATGACAGCTCTGACGATATTGTCTACTTTTTCTACCGACACATTATGGCATCCATGGGTGGTTTAGAACTTTCATTAGATCTTGAAGATGAGGTTTAGAAGTGAGGATCAGAGATAGAAGCGAAATTCGCGCAGGCATGCGATTCAGCTCCTCCACTAACTTCAACTCACTTTGCTTAATCAGTTTTAGGAATTCACATGCATACTCATCAGAGACTTGTTTTTGGTACTCTTTTGGATCTTTCATCATCGGCGCCCTCTTATCTTCCTCGTCGAGTTTGGGGTTAGTGAATTCGGGGATTTCTTGCCTTATTTCTTTCCTTTTTGCTAATTCTTCAATTCTGCGCTTTTCTACGTCATCCGGGGTGTAATATCTGCCAGTCTTAGTCATGCCACCTACCCCAGTTATGTTTGTCACTTCACTTTGGCGATTAGGGGTGTCCTCTTAGACAGAATACTCGACAATCAACTAGCCTTCACCGGGATAGACTGCTAAGGCGATTCACACAGATATCCACTACTAGAATGAATTCCAGTACAAAGCAGTGAATTGACTGACTCTCGCACAACCAATTCACTACTATCAATCAAGGAAGCTCTCTTAACCTAATCTGATTCTATCTATCAAAGGTTAAAGCAGAAATTAAGAGAATTTGATCAGGATTCAATTGACTCAATAAATCATGCCTCAATCGATTATAATCACACAATATAGCATCCAAAACTTCATACAAGAAAGATCCTAACATATGGAACTAGGGTTCCTCAAAACCTAACTGAAAAGAAGTTACTCCATAGAGAAGAGAGAGACTGCAGGAATCTGATCTAGATCTTCAATCTCCATCTCTAAGCTTGATTCTCGAGCTCCAATGGTGAAGAAATCCTCCAAAATAGCTCCAAGAATGGCTCTAGATCACCCTCTCTCTCTCTTTGGTTCGTCCCTTGGGTGTTTGGGATCCAAAACCCAGCTCTCCCTCTCCAAAAATCGCAAAACAGATTTTATACCCGTTGAAACTCGCACCCCCTACTTGCGTGGCCGTGCAAATTGAGGTTTTGGCCGTGCAAACCCCCTGGGAAACTCACACGGCCGTGCATAATTTTACACGACCGTGCACAATTTTCAGCCGCACTCCTAAGCTTCGTTGATCTCATTTGAGCTCGTTTGACCTCCGATTCAGGTGCCGTTTGATCCCAGATGCTCATAGTCTTGTCTTATTTCTTTTCATGAATTCATCAGCAAGATCTTGCCACCTTTTGACCTTCTACCTTTAGAGCGGCATGTACCACCTTGCGGCCGGCCAATTCAAACTATTATGAAAACAATGTATCAACAGTTTGTCATCTCGGACGTGATTGGTCATTTTGTTACAATACATTATTAGATGGTTTCTAGGGCACGTAGTACCGTCGTCTTTTCAAATTCCAAAACTTTGAATTTCGGGGGAATTATCACGTCTAGTACGAGGCATATTGTTTTTGTCATGTACAATGATGACTTTGGGCCCTGATCTTTCTCCTTTTGGAGAAACATCATTGTCAGAATGTACTTCTTTCATCATGTTTAGCTGACCGTTCATTTCGTCAAACCCAACCAGTTTTTCATCATACCCTGTTATCTTTCCCTCAATGTCACTTAGCTTCTTCTGAAAAGCCTCCATAACGAACTCAACCTTAGATCTCGTTAAGTCCATAAAGTCTTGACTTTTTTGTGGTGGACGACCAATTTTAGAGAAAACCCGGTGCTCTGTTTTTGTCATAGTGAAATAATTCATAATTAGTCGATGCAGAGTGACATGATGTCATGCGTATGCTAGATGAGGTGACTGCATGATATGATGCTTTTGTTTATGCATGAATGCAGTTCTAGGGTTTGCCAATGAGACAACATCTTTGCTTCCAAACTTTATATTTACAATAGCCAGGCTACTATTACAATTCCCTTGCGTTTCAAGGCGCTATATGCTTATTACATGGTCTCGTACATATATCACAAGAGACCATAATTACAAAAACAACCCAAAATACATTGTTTACCCTCCTACTACCTTACATGGTCATATTACAAAAACATTATAATATGATTAGTAGAAACTCCCATAATACACAAGCTCTTGTTGCAGGTTTTCAATATAGGTTGGAAGGTTTGGATCCGGATTCTCCATTTGTGCCAAACGTAGGCTGGCCACTTCGCCTTCATTGGACAACTCATATGCCCTTCCGGTAACTCCTCTAATGAATTTCATGAGATGATTAACGTTCCATTCTTCATTGAGCCTGTTGTTTTCCAATGTCTGTTCTCTGATTTGCCAGTCCGCATTTTCTATCTCGATGGCCTCCTTTTCTGCGATTAGTCGGTCAATCTCTTCACGATACTTGGTGGCTTCCTTTCTTTGCTTACTGATAAGATGCTCTTTTTGTTGGCTTGATGCTTCCATATGCTCTAATCTTTCTTGCATCGCCTGATTTGCACTTCGGAGTTCGTTGATTGCGGACCTTTGCTTGTGGCTCATATCTTCCAATTGCATAACCCTTTGATTTAGGATATGGTTTTCTTCTTCAAGTTTCTTCATTTGAGTGAAATGCCCTCTTGTGTATGACCGTATCTCATCATTTTCTCGTTGTAGTTGGCTTAAAGCCATATCTTTAGCCAAAGATTCTACTTGATGATGCATCGCAGGTGGCAATCTGGATTCAAGTTTAGTTTTCTCTTGCCTTTCCTGTCTATAGTGACTGCTTTTCCTCTTCCCTTATACCATGGTGTGTATTCGGGAGCCAAAAAATCGTGGAGGTCTTGATCACCTTTTGACACGCTACGAGACAACACCTAATAATGGCCAAGTGTAACCAATGAAAGGGACTGCAAAATAGTGGCACAAGTAATAAATATCGAATCCATGGGTCTCTAGAGTTACTATTACTCAGCTTCAGTTCATTATATAGCAAACTAGATTAAGGATTGATTTACTAAACTACTCTTCCAACTACTCTACTAATTATAGGTTGGGAACTCACTTAGGTATGATTCCCCCTAACTCCTCAATTAGGTCCAAGTTGTAATTCCTTTTGGTTGTTTTACTGTTGATTAAACTGCGGGAGATCCTAAATTAGCTTGGAATCTCTTAAGCTGACCAAGACCTCTTAGACAGAATACCCGACAGTCGACTAGCCTTCACCGGGATAGACTGCTAAGGCGATTCACAAAGATATCCACTACTGGAATGAATTCCAGTACAAAGCAGTGAATTGACTAACTCTCGCACAACGAATTCACTACTCACTACTATCAATCAAGGAAGCTCTCTTAACCTAATATGATTCTATCTATCAAAGCTCTTGTTGCAGGTTTTCAAGATAGGTTGGAAGGTTTGGATCCGGATTCTCCATTTGTGCCAAACGTAGGCTGGCCACTTCGCCTTCATTGGACAACTCATATTCCCTTCCGGTAACTCCTCTAATGAATTTCATGAGATGATTAATGTTCCATTCCTCATTGAGCCTGTTGTTTTCCAATGTCTGTTCTCTGATTTGCCAGTCCGCATTTTCTATCTCGATGGCCTCCTTTTCTGCGATTAGTCGGTCAATCTCTTCACGATACTTGGTGGCTTCCTTTCTTTGCTTACTGATAAGATGCTCTTTTTGTTGACCTGATGCTTCCATATGATCTAATCTTTCTTGAATCACCTGATTTGAACTTCAGAGTTCGTTGATTGCGGACCTTTGCTTGTGGCTCATATCTTCCAACTGCATAACCCTTTGATTTAGGATATGGTTTGCTTCTTCAAGTTTCTTCATTTGAGAGAAATGCCCTCTTGTGTATGACCGCATCTCATCATTTTCTCGTTGTACTTGGCTTAAAGCCATATCTTTAGCCAAAGATCCTACTTGATGATGCATCGCAAGTGGCAATCTGGATTCAAGTTCAGTTTTCTCTTGCCTTTCCTGTCTATAGTGACTGCTTTTCCTCGTCCCTGATACCATGGTGTGTATTCGAGAGCCCAAAAATCATGGAGGTCTTGATCACCTTTTGACACGCTACGAGACAACACCTAACAATGGCCAAGTGTAACCAATGAAAGGGACTGCAACATAGTGGCACAAGTAATAAATATCGAATCCACGGGTCTCTAGAGTTACTATTACTCAGCTTCAGTTCATTATCTAGCAAACTAGATTAAGGATTGATTTACTAAACTACTCTTCCAACTACTCTACTAATTACAGGTTGGAAACTCACTTAGGTATGATTCCCCCTAACTCCTCAATTAGGTCCAAGTGGTAATTCCTTTTGGTTGTTTTACTGTTGATTAAACTGCGGAAGATCCTAAATTAGCTTGGAATCTCTTAAGCTGACCAAGCCCTCTTAGACAAAATACCCGGCAGTCGACTAGCCTTCACTGGAATAGACTGTTAAGGCGATTCTCACAGATATCCACTACTGGAATGAATTCCTGTACAAAGCAGTGAATTGACTGACTATCGCACAACCAATTCACTACTATCAATCAAGGAAGCTCTCTTAACCTAATCTGATTCTATCTATCAAAGGTTAAAGCAGAAATTAAGAGAATTTGATCAGGATTCAATTGACTCAATAAATCATGCCTCAATCGATTATAATCACACAATATATCATCCAAAACTTCATACAAGAAAGATCCCAACATATGGAACAAAGGTTCCTTAAAACCTAACTGAAAGGAAGTTACTCCATAGAGAAGAGAGAGACTGCATAAATCTGATCTAGATCTTCAATCTCCATCCCCAAGCTTGATTCTCGAGCTCCAATGGTGAAGAAATCCTCCAAAATAACACCAAGAATGGTTCTAGATCACGCTCTCTCTCTTTGGTTCGTCCCTTGGGTGTTTGGGATCCAAAACCGAGCTGTCCCTCTCCAAAAATCGCAAAATAGCTTTTATACCCGCTGAAACTCGCACCCCCTACTTGTAAGGCCGTGCAAATTGAGATTTTGGCGGTGCAAACCCCCTGGGAAACTCACACGGCCGTGCATAATTTTACACGACCGTGCACAATTTCCAGCCGCACTCCTAAGCTTCGTTGATCTCGTTTGAGCTCGTTTGACCTCCGATTCAGGTGCCGTTTGATCCCAGATAATCATAGTCTTGTCTCGAGCCTCGTGCGGGGGAAAGAAATGTATGGGGCTGGAGGTAGTAGGTGGATTCCAATCGCTTCTTCAACCCCCCTTCCTTCCTTAGAATTGGATTCCTCCACAACTTCTTTCCTCATCCTTTCTCGCTCTTCTTCTTCTTCTAGCACGGATTGGAGAGCAAGTCGCCATGCAATCTTTTCAATAAGATCAACTTGCATCTCCTCACTCATGGCCGCCTCATCATCGCTCGGTGTGAGATGCGGAAAGGTATGGTTGGCTACAACAGGACATTGCAAATCATGATCATCACGGGAGCTCTTCGTGACAAACTCTATATGCTCCACGACATCCTCATGATTGACTTCTTCTTCCTCCTTCTTTGCTTGTATTGTAGCATAAAGGCTGTCTTGAGAAAACTGTGCACAAGCTTTCTCAATGAACTCTATGTGCTTCTTTATGCTCCGAAGGGTCTCCTCTGTTTCACGGGGAAAGGAGAAGTCAGTTTGGACAATGGCTTGGATATGAGGATCCATCTTGGGAAAGGATCTCTCAGGTACTCGAGCAATATGCTCCACGAGAAGCCTCAAGTGATAGTTTGGATCTGGCTGTGGAGTAGCATGGCGCTGCCGGATGGCCCGTGAAGGCTGTGGCTAACTCAAGATCCGATGACCCTTTTGGTTGTGGGAGGAGTTCTTCTTGATAAGGAGATTTTTCTTGAAATACCCAGGGGTTTGATTGTTCTTCGTAGTAGAGGGGTTGGTACTGAAACCCGACTCCATAGTCTTCTCTTCGTTGGTTGCTCCAGGAAGTCTCGGGGTAATACCACTGATGACTCGATATTTGCACATGTTTTCCCCTTTGTTTCTTGATCGTTTAAGCTTGAATTATAGCTTCTTTGGCCTATTTTACGCTAGATTTTGTTCCTTTGTCACATTTCAGGTCCTAGCACATAAAGTGAAGCATAGGCGCAAGTTTCAAGTCAATCAGAGATCAATTGGCGATTTGGGAGAAAAAACTCGGGCATGACCTGAATAAGAATGGATTTTCTTCCTCACTTTATGGACAAATAATCATGAAAGCTTGTGATTAAAAGAAAGAGGACGATACTACAAGCGTTTGGGATCAAACGGCGACTGATTCGGAGTCCGGACGAGGGAGAAACGAAGCATTGAATATAGGGGAACAGGTTCGGCAGTAAAAACACGGGCAGACTACCCTAAAAACACGGTTGTGTTTTATCTGGCACCTGCTAGTGTTTTTACTGCCAAGGGCGTGTCGTGAGGGCTTCTGGGGGCAAAACACGGTCGTGTCCTCGACCGTGTTTTGCCCAGAATCAGGTTTCTTCAGCATTGGAGCTCGGGAATCAAGCTTGGAGATGGAGATTGAAGATCTAGATCAGATTTATGCATTTTCTCTCTTCTCTATGGAGTAACTTCCCTTCACTTAGGTTTTGAGGAACCCTATTTCCATGTGTTAGGATCTTTCTTGTATGAAGTTTTGGATGCTATATTGTTTGATTATAATCGATTGAGGCATGATTTATTGAGTCAATTGAATCTTGATCAAATTCTCTTGATTTATGCTTTAACCTATGATAGATAGAATCTGATTAGGTTAAGAGAGCTTCCTTGATTGATAGTGGTGAATTGGTTGTGCGAGAGTCAATCAATTCACTGTTTTGTACTGGAATTCATTCCAGTAGTGGAGATATGCGTTCACAGTATCAGCTTTCTATCCCGGTGAAGGCTAGTCGCCTGCCGGGTATTCTATCTAAGAGGGCTTGGTCAGCTTAAGAGATTCCAAGCTAATTTAGGATCTTCCGCAGTTTAATCAACAGTAGATTAACCAAAGGTAATTTCAACTTGGACCTAATTGAGGAGCTAGGGGGAATCATACCTAAGTGAGTTCCCAACTTGTAATTAGTAGAGTAGTTAGTAGACTAGTTTAGTAAATCAATCCTTAATCTAGTTTGCTAGATAATGAACTGAAGATGAGTAATAGTAACTCTAGAGACCCGTGGATTCGATATTTATTACTTGTGCCACTATACTGCAGTCCCTTTTATTGGTTACACTTGGTCATTGTTAGGTGTTGTGTTTTAGCGTGTCAACCACTCGGGTGGTGGTGGATACCCCTAATGATTGGAGAAGCCATGAGAATCCATGTTTCAGATCTGCACCAACAAAAATAGAACACCCAAGTGAAAAGCAAGGGCGGAAAACAAATGAAAAACGCTAAAGTAACAAACTTCTGCCTTTCCTAATAATCTAAAAAGTCCCCGGCAACGGCGCCAAAAACTTGACACGCTAAAACACAACGCCAAACTGCGACCAAGTGTAATCGCAGTCTGGAAATGCAGTAAGTGGCAAGCTCTATTTGTCAACCCGGGGTCTAGATCTACTGCCTACTCCGTGAATACCTATTATCTAGCAAACTATGTCGAGTGATTGTGATTTTAACTAAAAGCAGTAAGAAAGCACGAAATGGTTCAAAGTTCTTTAGCAAGGGAAGAGTCACTCGTGAATGAGTCCCCCAGCTCCTTAGTTAGGTCAAGGTTGTAATTACCCTGGGTTGATTAACTGTTGATTAAACTGCGGAAGATCCGACAATAGCTTGGAATCTCTTAAGCTGGTCGAGCCCTCTCAGACAGGCTAACTGGCAGGCGACTAACCTTCACTGGGATAGACTGCTGAGGCAATAAACACATAACTCCATTACTGGAATTGGGTTCCAATAAAAAATAGCAAATCCATTAACTCTCGTATAACCAATCTACCACTACCGATTGATGAAGCTCTAACAACCTAATCAGATTCTATCTATCTCAGGTTGCAGCAAAAATCAAGAAAAGATGATCAAACTTCAATTGACTCAATGAATCATGCATCAATCGATTATAACCAATCAGTATAACAATCCCAAGTCATTACAATCAAGATCCCTAACACATGGAACTAGGGTTCTTCACACCCAAGTGAGAGAAGGTTCTACTCCTAAAGAGAGACAGGAAAACAAAAATCAGAGTAGTCATACTCATAAAGATGAGGAAAATCTGCTCTGGGATGATGATCTTCACTCCTATGATGATCTCCAAGCTCGATTGATGAAACCCAGCTCCAAAATCACCTCTAGGATGTGTTCTTCGAACTTTCTCTCTCCAGGGCTCTATTTTTTGCTCAGAAACTCGATTCCCTCTCCTTTGGCTCGAAATTGGGTTAACCCAGAATTTCCCGACACACGGCCGTTTGGCTTTCCAGTCAGCTCGTGTGGATGTGAAAACGCCGCATTTCGATTAGTGGACTTCAGGCACACTGCACGGCCAGAAGCACACGGTCCTGTGGATTTCCAGTCTGGCCGTGTGAGCTCCCTGGACTTTCCACACGGCCACAAGGGGTCCCATACACGGCCGTGTGGATTTCCAGTCTGGCCATGTGAGCTCCCTGGACTTTCCACACACCACACAGCCGTGTGGCTGCTTTGTCTGGCCGTGTGGATTCCTCAGCTCCTCGCCAGACGCCTAACTTTTGTCCAATCGACCCGAAACTCGCTCCCAAACCTCCAATCACGTACTAGGACCTGAAATAACACAAACGAGAACAACCTAGCTTGAAATCGGCCTAAGATACGAGAAATGAGGCTCAAACGGCATAAGAATGGTGGATAAAAACAAGTGTATATATCAAGTCATCAAATTCCCCCACACTTAAACCGTTTGCTTGTCCCCAAGCAAACCAAGTCAGATACAAGGTAAGCTCAACATATTTCAATCATACCATCATTGGGGACAAACCATATAGGCACAGAACACGTGAATCATACTGGCTTTTGATCATTGACATATGGACAACTCAACAACAACCTAGACAACCACCACAGAGGACATTCGAGTGCACAAAATCGGGTAAAGGAAGAGGAATCTTTTTTATTCACCAACCAACATAGACTTGACTCAACCACTTGACCAAGACAGCCGTCGCATGCATCAAACTCAAGACATCAGAATCAAGACCGAGCCATCTAGGTCCTCACCGGGGTAAAGAGCATAAAGAACAAGGAAATGAATCGCTAACTCTCGACCAGTGGGGTCAGGACACTTTGATGCGAAAAATGCGCATGTGTATTCTCTCAAATCCTGACGTCTCTTCACCATGATGGCAGCCTCTAAATGTTAGAGTTCACACAAGGGATGTCACCACTAACTAATCCAGAGGTCTTAGACACAGGTTCAAGTGACTGGCTAGGGTCTTGGACATGGGGAAAATGCCTTTTAGGTGGTGGAAGTATTCATAGGACAAGGTTCCACAGTTCCAAACCCAACACCTTCACAACCAATCAAACCAGTAACTTTCTTTCTGTCATTCTGCATTACTCAAATTCTTTAGAGCACAAGAGCGAAGGAGGTCACAATACTGTTAGTATTTCTCAGCCAGACTGCTAAGAAACACTACTTAATGAGCACTATTCAGATTATTGGTGGTGGCTCTCTTTTGCTTTCATTCAATTTTTTTTCCTTTTATTTTCATTCTTGAGAGAACCACCACCTCTGCACATTTTTCAAACACATGCCCAACTTGTAAGAACTACCTCCAACCCTCACATTATTTTTAGCAGGAACAGCAGAGAGCATGCAAAAACCACTCTGTGGAACCTTCTAAGAGATGCAAAAGGGTGATTTTTCATTGTAGACTGAAAGAATGAAAAGTACACGACTCAAAGGGCTGACTAGGGGTATGACACACCAGGATAGTCGATTTGGTCGTGGGCTAATCCTATGCCTCCATCATCTTAGCTAGTAACAACGTGAATGCTACACATCATGGAAGAGGGATCTATCGCACAAGAAAGAAATGAGCAAGCTCAAATCTCACATGGCTACCTATATGCTCTATCGCTCATTCTGATTCCCTGAACTAGATGCATAAACGACTGTCAAGAGCAAGTAATCAATTCAAATCACAATTGGTAAGCAAACAGTTGAAAAACTGAACCCCTACACAATTCTACTGCACATCTCAGTCATCATCATAAGTTGTCCTAGTTATAATCAAGTTGTCATGCATTAATTCAAAAGCCATTCGATTCACCAATCAAATCCAGAGTGCCAATATGATCATGCAAACTTCGGTACTTGGAGCCGTCAAATCTCGAGATTTGGACAGTGGACTAGGCTCCAAGCACACAGATATAGATTCCAACCAATACAAAGCACCCCCCCACACACACACTTAAGATCGACATTGCCCTCAATGGAGCAGAGGGAAAGAGAAGGGGAACGATGTTACCGGGTGAAAATACTGCCGGGAGACTGGAAGTGGACCAGTCAGCGGGAAACAGATGGAACGACGGAACAGTTCTGCACGAAGGGAACATAAATAACACACTAGCACACTGTGCGTTAGGGATCAGAGTTAGCCTAGACGGCCACTGATAAACCATTGATTGCACATGTTTTTACCCCTATCCTTGAGCCGTTTGAGATGTTGATTCTCGTGTTTTAAGCCGATTTCACGCTAGGTTGTGCGTTTATGTCATATTTCAGGACTCAGCGTTGGCATCGAGGCGAAGAAACGAGCTTCAGGTCGAAAGGAGCGCGTTTGGGTTGAAGTGTGCTGGAGGAGCAGAAATACCAGACCGGGTATTATTTTGAGCAGACCGGGGAAAACTGGTTTCGGGCTTCTGAGAAACAGAAGGGGCCCCGGGCATTAAGCATAAATCCCCGGTCGGGTATTCTTGACCCAGGCTAGGGATAAACCCCTGTTACCCGACGATTCATTTTGAAGATACCCGGTCTCCACCCAAAATACCCGACCGGGTATTCAGATAGGGGATTGCGGCAGACAACTTCTTAAGGGAAAAGAAGGAAAAAAGTGATGGGTTCAGAGTTTTAGAGAGAAAAAGTGAAAACCTAGAGAGAGAGTGAGTGATAAACTTGATTCTGCAAGTGTCTTTGATCGATCTCCATCACCACTGGAGCGCGGCTTTTGCTTGGAGAAGAGCTGATTGAGTGTCAGAAGCAAATTCTCATCCTTCACAATATGGTTTCCGCATCTGAGCTAGATTTCCCATCTCTCTCTATGGAGTAGCTTTCTTATTCACCTGGGTATGAAGAATCCTAGATTTGTATGTTAGGTCTGATTGTATGAACCCAAGTACAAATTCAGTGATAATATTAAATTCAATTGAGGTTTGATTTGTTGAATGGCATGAATCTTGATCAAATTCCTGTTGTTTCTGCTTTAACCTAGAAAGAGAATATCTGTCTAGGTTGATAGAGCACCCTTGATTGAAGGTAGTGAATTCACGACTTTAGTCGAGGAATCAATTCACTATTCTGTACCGAATTTACTTCGGTAGTGGAGGTTTGGTTCGTTAGGGCCTCAATTTGTTTACTCCGGTGGAGGTTAGTCGCCCGCTGGGGACTCAGATTGAGAGGGTCAAGAAACCTTTAGTCGAGACTGCAAACTGCTTAAGAACCTCCAGCAGTATAACTATCATTGAAATTGAACTTGGTAAATTATAATCCGGCTTAATTGCAGTCTAGGGGGAACCATATCCGGGTGACCTCTCTCGACTTGAAAACAACCTTTTTACTGCTTTGCTTGTTTGGATCTTCACTAAAGTTTCACTACTAAATAATAAGAACTCACGGAGTAGTCATCACACTTAGGACCCGGGTTGACATTAAAACCCAAACCCGCTATACTACGCTTTAGGAGGTGGTTACACTTGGCCATTTTCTAGAGTGACGGTAGGAGCGAGTCAAGTTTTTGGCGCCGTTGTCGGTGATGACTAGGTTGTTGAAGAAACGTGATTTTTGTTAATTTAGCTTTTCTTTTTAGCATTGTTTGTTTGCCTTGTCACACTTGTGCCTTCACGAGTTTGCTGCTTGACTGTGTGCAGGTAGTGCATGACCCGTAGCTAGTCGGGAGGTTTACTGCCGTTGGATCCGGAGCTTGAACGCACCTGCAACAAACTTAGGAGACAACAGCGAGCTAGACTAGCTATGGAGGAGCGCATAGACGGCCACTTGAGCAGCGATTCCGAGGAAGAGTATGAGATGGAAGGAGACCATAACCCGCCCCAGGGGATACCTCTCCAGGTTCCCCCTGTGAACCAAATCTTGGGGAACAACCCAATACCCCAGGCAGATGGGGTTCATCATTAACCACCGCCGCCGGGTCCCACCTTGGAGTACTACTACACTCCACGGGTTGCTGATATCCGCCCTGTCATCCTCTACCCACCCATTCCAGCGAACAACTTTGAGATCAAGCCATGCTGGATTCAACTCATTACATCATCTATCCAGTTTCATGGCTTGAAGGATGAGGAGGCAAGGGTGCATCTTTCCCGTTTCCTGCAGCTGACGAACGGGTTCAAGATGAACGGTGTCCCTGATGATGTGATCCGCCTTCACCTCTTCCCCCCATTCTCTGGCGGGGCATGCGAAGAGGTGGCTATAGAGCCAGCCCCCATTGTCCATCACTTCGTGGGACGATCTGGCTGACAAGTTCGTGCACAGGTATTATCCAGCATCGAAGACCCCAGAAATCCAGAGGGAGATCACTCACTTCCGCCAAGAGCTAGATGAGTCACTTCGTGATGCATGGGAGCGGTACTCGGGGTTTTTCTGGCAGTGCCCCCATCGTGGGTTCAGCGATGCATTCACCTTGGGGAACTTCTACAGTGCTCTCTCTCCGGAAAGCCAGAGGGTGATTGAGTCTCTATGCCCAGGAGGGGATATTCTCACTAAGACTCCACCCAAACTGAATCAGATGATCAGTACCTTGGCTGCCAGAGATCATTCCTAGGGGCAGAGCACCAGAGGCAAGAATTCCCGAGATCGAGGTGTGCATGCCATGGAGGCTAGGTCTGGGCTAGAGCGGGAGGTGGCCAAGTTAGTGCAGACATTGAAGCAGCCCAACAGTCTTATTCCGGGCAGAGGTCTGGCCGGACTTCCAGTAGCTCAATGTCAGTGGTGTGAGAGCTCGAATCATCTGGTGGAAGACTGTCAGGCTATGCGGGAATCTTATAATCCCCAAGAGCAGTTGGACTTCATCGCCAATGCTCGGCGCCTTGACCCATGCAGCAATACATACATTGAGGGGTGGCGCCATCATCTCAACTTCGCTGGGAATAACAACACCACTAAACCACCTGGTTTCCCAGCACCAGCAGGTGGTTTTCAGCAGAGGCAGCCTTTCCAGGCTAGATAGGGTCCAGTTCCACAGCAGCAGCCTTACCAGCCTAGGCAGGGGCAACCATTCCAGCAGCCCCAGCGACAGTACGCCCAGCCTCCAACAGCTGCAACTCTAGATAATCAGATGACGGAGCTGAAAAATATTTTGCAGGCATTCATGACCACCAGCCAGGCGAATTTCACGAGGATGAACCACAACATAGCCTCACTGGAGGCATACCAGAGGAACCAAGGTGCCATTTTGCCAGATCTACAGAATCAGATTGATGGCATAGCTCGCCAAAATACTACCAGGGCACCGAGGACTCCGCCTGCCACCACCATCCCGAACCCTCGTGAGCCTCACTAGCACAAGCAGCTGGATGCCATCACTACCAGGAGTGGCAAGACCACATCTGCTGCTCCTGCCCAGCCCAGGCAGGACGAGCCACTACCTGCTTCAACACTTCT